GTCATCTAACGTTACGTCTGCGAACGCCTTCCGTCATCTTGATCCAAACCCACATTACATGATCCAAGCAGGATTCATTCATCTCGTCGAATCCAAGTAATCCAAGTAATCCGAGTAATCCAAACTGAAATCAAAATTGTGTTCTAGGATGGCCTTCTACATCGTATCAAATCGCTTCAAGACGAGCTGGGCGAGAAACAACACACGGTTGACCGACAACTCACGGAGATCGACGATCAAAAGCACGCATATGAAAGCGAGATCAACAGACTCAAGTCTGAGTTGGCGGCACTCGAGGCAAAATATCAGAACGAGCTCGAAGATGAGCGAGATCAACATCAACACGTAGGTTTTTCTTGGGAAAGAGTAAAGTATTTCGACGGGAAATTTCAGGCAAAATAAAAAGTGTTTCAGATGGAAGACACTGAACAAGAGACTAAAAATGAGTTAACTACATGAAATGGAAGAAAAAGAACAGAAAATTTACATTAGGAAGTTCCTATGATACGGAGAGACTCATGAGGAACTAAATGAAGTGATATGAAATCTAACAACTGAAAACAATTGCATAGAAAGAAACATCATCATATAGATTGACTAGAACAGTCCCATTGTAAGTGCGATATTTCAGATCTAGTAAAATATTGTGATATTTGGGATAATCAGCTACAGTTAGTGAGAAATTGATCTGCTGCTACTCAAATGAGCGAGTTGATTTTCAGGGATTTAGTGATAGACTCATGAGCCATTAGAAGGGCCTACGGGACTAGCAACATCATCAAATGCCTACAGATTTGAAGAGTTCTAAGCTTGCAGGATGCTGACGTGCTCAAGGCCACAGAAGAAGAGTTGCGTACGAAGATCACGCTTCTCGAGACCAAACTTGAGGCTGCGAATGATCGCGAGAAGAATTTGCACAATGAGATTGCCGAATGGGAGGATAAATACGACTCGGTGAATAAAGAGCTGCAAAAAGTCAGAGACGAGCTGGACGTAGTCAGAAGTGACTCCGAGAAGGTAACTGATCTGTAATTCAGCGTTCGATTCATGGTTTTTCTGATCAAAACAGATCAATTACAGCAATCCAGACAGGCCTCAGCGTCTGAAAAGTGAGACCATAGTTCAAAAGGAACCCATCAAGTTCAAGAAGCTATCAGATCCGTGCGGAATGAAGCACGAGTTAATTGCGAGTTAATTAATCACTCCAGCTAATGAATAAGTTTGAAACATGGCCGATTCACTCAAGGCATTAAGATATAAGATGAAGCTGAATATCATTT